GTTGATTATATTGTATAGAATTTTTTTCTCACTATCCAAATTTTGCCGCCACCCAAAATTTGCCGCCCTGGGCAGTAGCCCCGATTGCCCCTACTGTAAATCCAGCACTGGCTGTATCTAATATTAACATTTTTATACAGAACTGAATCGGCAAAGTGACATTATAACCCCAGAAATGAAATCCTGATAAATTCATAGTTTTATTTTCGCTGATTATTACTCATTTATATTATATTTGTTTTTTGAACAGTAAATTTAAAATTTTTGTCAAATTTAATTATTTATATCCATAAAAGTTATGCACTATTAAATGAAAACAAAATTATTTAGAATATATATATATATATATATATATATATATATATATATATATAAAGAAAAAATTCTAACATTTGCTCAAAATATTCAATTTTTTATACCTCTAATCTATGAATGCTGGATGATAACATTGGTCCGGGTCCTGTTGAAACACTCCATTGCAATTTCCCATTATTTTGAGTATCAAGGGCTGATAGTTTTCCATCCAATGTACTCACAAAAATAAATCTTAAAAAAATGAAATCATGTCCCAATTAATATATATATATATATATATATATATATATATATATATATTCTAAATAATTTTGTTTGTTGTTTTATTATATTCTAAAAGTTTGTTTATATATTCTACATATACAGACGTTTCGAGACCGTGATGCTTAATCTTCAGTGTAAAATCTTACAGTGAAAGTGTACAAAAATAAAGTTTGTTAAAAAAATTGAATGTAGTGCATTTATAATTAAATCTTGATATATATTATATTAATACTATCAATCAAGTATATATTGATAACTTTTAACTACATATTTCATTTCAAATGTCTGTAAAGTAAGTTAATTTAATTATTAATGGTATGAATAATTAAATCACAAAAGAAAATAAATCTGATGTTTGTTCAAGATAAAGAACTATTAATATTTGTTTATTTATATGTTACAAAACTTGCTGCTTTGCTCAACTGCAGACTATATATCAAGTGCCAAATGTTATAAAAAAAATAATTTATATAATTGAGTTATTTTTTCATATATATCTTATATTCATATATTAAGAAGAATTTCTGCTTTATATAAGTACAAAGAAAATATTTGCGAAACTATAACAAGGTACTCATAGTATTAAGCAGTCTGATAATGTTTTACTACTCAATTTGATGTCTGTTTTCCGGTATGCAACTTTTTATGTTACATTTTTTTTAGTTTACATTAATTAATAAAAATTACCTTCAAATCAATGTTCGACAAATGCAACCCAAATTTTTTTTTTTTATTTATTTATTTATTTGATATAATTCATACATACTGTATCTCAGTCAGACAATTGTTCTGTAATCTCTCATACCAGAACAATTGTATGACTGAGATACAGTATGTATGAATTATATCAAATAAATAAATAAATAAAAAAAAAATTTACAATCTACAACATTTAATTCGCTAAAAATAAATATCATTTAATCCTGCTGTATCAAATTATTAGTAGTGCAAATGACTTTACTAATTAAAATCATTAACAGCAAATATATAGTTTTCAACCATAGACGGAAAAAAATTACTAAAAAATAACATAACAATAAAGGAACATTTGAAAAATTTCAATTTAAAAATTATTGGGTAGTTAGGATATATATATTGGGTAGTTTTGTCGATGTTAATACATATTTGAAGTATTTTGCAGCCCAGTCGTCAAATTAAAAGAAGATTAAAATAGATTTTTTTTTAATCCATTACTTATAGCATAGTTATGAATTGATTTGGGTTTCTAGAATTATATATATGTTGATTAACCCTTTTGTGTATATATTGGGAACTTTCCCCAATGTAACAACTATTGCAATCATTGCAGTGCAACCTGGAAACCGAATCAGTAACCCTATCAGCAAGAGTTTTTGATTTAAGAGCAGAAAAAAGGCAACTGAACGTGTTGTCAAAACTAAAACTAAAAGAAAATCTTCAGAGACAAATAACTTTTTTTATAAAATAAGAAAAATTGCTTAAGAAAGGTAAACAAATAACACCTTTATATTTATCTAAAGAAGACGAATTTGATTTTGAACAAGAATTGTTAGTATATAAAGAACTGTTTAAATTGTTATGTAAAAACTCTAATCTATTTTTAATGATGTTATTGACTAAATATGACGGATAAGAATTATTATTCAAAACAGAACAAATTAAAGTTAGGTTTTTTCCCAAAAAATCTCATTACTTAACAAAATGCCCTGTCTATTAAAGAAATAACAACTGAAACTTTGATAGATCGAGAGTGATAGGAAAAATAATTTTAAATATCGTCCTGACCAAGTTCGTTTTTGGAACCAGTCAGTGAAGACGACATAGTTGTTTCTAATAAGTTTTAAGTCTAGGAAACTAGTAGAGTTACTAACCGCAAGTTCACAAGTGAACTGCATATGCTTATTAAACGAACAAAAGTGTGAGATATATAATCCTTATCTAAACAAAAGAGGATGTCATCAACATATTTATAGCAAAAATAAGGTTGAATTGGAAGATTAGTCAAAATAAGGTTTTCTAAAATTTGTCATGTTAAATCAGCTACAGGAGGACTTTTCTATTTTAATCTTCTTTTAATTCGACGATTGGGCTGCAAAATACTTCTACTTTATATATATGATGATGATGAATGCTCTGCCGGTCCGTGAGCTGAGTTAAACTCCAACTCGATTCAGGGAAGAAGTAGTGTGAGAGTTTTTCCCATTTCCATATATATATATATATATATATATATATATATATATATATATATATTAGTTTTATACAGCCTGAACTTTCTAGATTCCGTGTTTCAGTATTTTCATAGTTCCATATAATTTTTCACCAAATTTGGTGGCAAAGTTTTTACTAATTGTAAGTCACCCACGCAAACTATTTTACATATAATTTGTGCATAACATATATTTTAGAAACTAGCAAATAATACCTTTTGCTGTCAGCTGATTCTTCAGAACAGTGGGGCAATTTCTCTAAATCTGCTTTAACTATTATCGCATTTAATACAACTAGTGAGGTTAGGAAAACAGCGTAAATTATGCAGGCACCATATGACGACACATTTCCCATTTTACACCCACAAATTTGCACAAGATATTTCCCAAACTGATAAACATGTCCCTCATTTAGGTTGAGGATTAATTTACTATATTTTATTACTTAATATTGCGTTTTGGCGTCTGTTTATTATGAAAAATCATAAATGTCGTATGACAAGTTGGAACTTGTTGAGTTTACGATGGCACTGCGCAACCTCTCGCTTATCTGTCTAACTAAAAATGTAATTTAGCGATTGGTTTGGATATGTGCTCATAAGCTCATAATATATCATAGATAAATAAGTATTTTTAAATTTAAAAATTTGAGAATATTTTGAAATTTTCAAAAAAATCAGATATTTTCGAAAATTTCCAAATTTAAAAAATACGTTTTTTAAAAAAAATCCAAAAAAATTCAAACATCTAAAAAAAATTCAAAATTTCGAAAAAAATCAAATATGAACAAATTTCTTATGAACATACAAACAGTTGTTTGTAGAATACGCTCGTCCATATAATATATATTCGGAAAGACTAGTGAGGCGCACGATCATGCCTTAAGGCAAATTGCTGGAACTTCTCGTACCGGAATTAAATATTCGAGAAATGGAAATAATCAATAATTGTTTTGAATAATTACAAGTAAATTATTTATTATAAAAACATACTGTAAACTTATAAGTGCTTTTTAAATTAGGCGACGATGAGCGTATTCTACAAACAACTTTTGGTATGTTTATAAGAAATTTGTTCATTTTGATATTTTTTGATAGTTTAGAAATTTTTTTAGAAGTTTGAAATTTTTTGGATTTTATTTTAAAAAACATATTTTTAAAATTTGGAATTCCGATTTTTTTGAAAATTTCGATATATTCTCTAATTTTTTATTTTCTCTAATTATTTTAATTTTTCAAAATTTTGTTTTTTTTAAATGAAAAAATTCGAAAATTTGAATTTTTGAAACTTCGATTTTTTTTGAAAATTTTGAATTTTTTTTTTTTTGAAAATTTTCAAAACTACTAAATTTTCTGTAAAAGCATTATTTGCACACCGTCTACTCAAGCAAAATGTTTTTGAATTAATCTAATCGGATGATCCGTTCTCTCAAAAACTGCATAATAGTTTTTACACCTTTTGCGCAAAATCTCTATAAAATATCTGATAAATTGATGTACATATGTCCAATAAACATTTTTAACCGCCAAATGACATTTTTTTAACTTATTTTTATTGAGAGTCCATAACTGCTGAACCTGCCTCCCCAAAACTTTAATCAGTTCTTCATCTTGTCAATACAAGTAAAATGTTTTTTGAATTATTAAAATCGGACGCTCCGTTCTCTTAAAAACTGAGTTACCGTTTTTGGCACTTTTTGCCCCGTATCTTCGGAACGGCTAGACCTGCCTTCGCCAAAAACTAATCAGCACGTCTCCTTATCAATACGAATCGAATGATTTTTGAATTATTCAAATCGATTAATCGTTGTCCCCGAAATCGTCGACGAAAATTTGTATCCGCATACACACATATACACATACGGCCATTTTTTAAGGTATGCCAAAATATTCAGAAACCTTTGAAAGATCATAAAGATATATAAAAATGTTCATTTTCGATTTTTTGGCGATTACTATAACTTACCCTAAGGGCACAACAACAAGGAAATTAAATAATTTTATTTTATAAATAAGTAGTATTCGTTTTATAAATTATTTTTCCAAATTTTAGCCATAAACGTGCTGTTTACAAAGAAACAACAATCTCACACAACAAATTATTACAGATGAACAGATTTTATAAAACAATATTCATTCATTTCTTATATGTTTTTAATTAACAATGCAGTATTTACATACTCCCAGAAATACTATAATTTTAATAAATACATCATTATAAGTTGAGGCAGTAAATAACGACAGAAAATAACATCTCAGGATCCCTGTTGCACAACATTGCAATCTTTCATTAACCTCTTGCACACATTATTACATGACCCGCCGTTTGAAATGTGGTAATATAAAATGTTTATTAGCTATATAATTTTTTTTTTATTTGTGATCATTTCAGCCATTTGACAATACAGTAATTTCTTTTCCCAACTCTCAATATTGTAACATTGTTTGGCAAAATATGAACTGGACTCAAACCTTCAGCAATATTTGTGCATCTATTGTGGTTAATATAAAATCCACCAGCTTGAATTATTCTCACAGCATCAGCTATAAATAAAATTTAAAAATAATATTAAGAAAAAAACAATAGCTTAAAAAATAATAACCTTCTGTTGGAAAGCAATGAGCTCTCAGAGCTAATTCCATGAGATTCATTCCAGGGGATGGTAATATTTCAACGACATTTGCCCCTTTAAATAATTCTTCTAATTCTTCTATTTTTAATGAACCAAGAGACTTAACGTCACGCTGATACAGAGCAGCAGAGGTCTGTTGAGCTTTTAAGAGACCTTTTTCTAAAAAATATAGAATAGAAACTTCATTCTTATAATAATATTATATAGTTAAATAATAACATTATTATTAAATGATTTTTCATTATTATTATGATTAGAACTGATTGTTCAATAATAATTTAAATATATCGATGAACTGTAAACTTAAACTTGAATTGAATGAATTAAATATAAAAATTAAAATTTATTCATAAAATTTTAAACAACCTTTAATTAACATTTATCAATCAGATCTGTCATAACATATCATTTTATGTGAACCCCTAATATCTTGGTTTTTATTGTAAGATGAATAGCATTGACCTAATAAATGATTAATGGGTATTCTTCTGATCTAGTAACTTCGATACCTTGTAATAACATCCAAACAATAAACATTCTTTATAATTAATGTTACATACCTCCATGAACAAGTAGTGTAACATCATCTGCTAATTTCTTCTGTGCAATTCTGTGCTCTGGACTCTTAATGTGCTTTGACATCAGTTGTTCTATTTCACCTAGACTATCGAATGTAAAAAGTTTTAGTAACTGTTCAACCTAGAAATGACATTTGTAAATAATACAAATAAGATTTTAATAGTATATTGATACATAACATCATACCTCACTATCCTTCACACGTACAAAAAACTGATATAAACTAAATGGAGATGATTTTTCTTCATTTAACCACACTGCATTTCCACTAGATTTACCAAATTTATCACCTTCTTCTGATGTAATCAATGGCATTGTAATTCCTAACATAGAATATGGTGAAAGAACAATATATTAATAAAAACATATAATCTTGAATAAATTGAAGTAAAATCATGGAATATTGTATTCACCATATACTGGTTTATTAGTAACTCTACTAATTAATTCATGTCCGGACATTATGTTACCCATTTGATCACTACCACCAAGCTGAAATCGACAATTGTAATTTTGATACAAATGCAACCAGTCATATGCTTGAAATATTTGATATGTAAATTCGGTAAAACTCATTCCCGCATCTTTTAACCGAGTTTGCACTGAGCTCCTCGACAACATGGTGCCTAGATAAAAGAAATATATATACAGATATATATATATATATATATATATATGTATATATATATATATATATATATATATAATAAAATTTACCCATTCTGAAGTGGCGTCCAACTGTCCCAGCAAATTCAATAGCATCCATTCCTCTATACCATGATTCATTATTGACAACTCTGAAAATCAATCTCTCATTTAAATATGACAATGCATTATGTGAATACTATTCTCTGTGTGAATCATATTTGAAATGGCTTAAAATTGGGACAGCAATGTATCTAATACATGATAGATACAGCATCTAAAATTAATTACATACTTCAAAGGTGCTAATTTTCCTTTATAGCCTCTTCTATTCCATAATATTTCTTCATGATTTCTAAATATTCTTTCGATATTTTCTTGAATATTATTTGCATTAATGCTTATATCATTTGCTGATATATCAGAACGTTTAGATGTTCGACCACTTGGATCTCCAATTTGTCCAGTTGCTCCACCAATCTAAAACATAATATATGTTGAACTAATATGTTTTGTAACAGTAAATAAACAACTTAATTGTACAGCTATGTAGTTGTAATGAAAGACAACTTTGAAAATACTAAAATACAATTACAAAAACTATAGATAATTTACCTCTGACATATATAAAATACAAATTTCTCTATAGAATTTTTTTTAAAAACAGAAGAGTGCAGAAAAGTTATATGATATAACTTTTTTGCACTCTTGATATAACTTATATTAAATATAAGTTCAAAATACATTAGATAAATCAATAATTAATTTGATTGGTTTCTTTTTACACTGTGGATATATGAATAATAACAAAACAGAATCTGATAATAGAAAGATAGATCCAAATATTGATTCACACATATATGCCATCGGAACATTTATAATTCACTGTAATATAATACATTTGATAAAAGATGGATATGAGAGATACATAATATGAGAATTATTAAATATACTAAAATTAATTTTGCTTACTAAAGCTATAGGCACATGTCCAGCTCTTTGCCACTGAAGAAGACCAATTATAACTAAAAGATTTCCAACATGCAGGCTGTCGGCTGTTGGATCAAAACCGGCATACATACATTGAGGTTCTGTATTTAGTGTGTCCCGAGCTTGTGTTCTAAATTAAGGGTAAACATTTATTGTTAATCATAACATCCTCTATTTATTTATTGTTAAATGGTAGAAACAACTTACACCGCTTCTTCAGGAAATATATCTTGAAACAATCCTCTTTCACTTAATTTTAATACATTTCTATTAGTATAATGCCTTAAAATGTAGCTTACACAAGATTTTTGACTAGAGAATTTCAAAATAGTTGATTTAATCATGTTAGTAATAAATGGACTTTAATTTCGAAAAAATCATGTAATTTGTAGGTTATGTGAGGTTAAATTGACATATTACTTAATATGAAAGCTTTAAAACTGTCACTGATACGCTTAGGGCGTTCATGGCGGTCAGATTGTGAAATATTTTTCAACGAATATTCGACTCAATTTGACTATTATTCGGTAATTCGGTATTCGGTTTATTATGTAGCATAATTTATTTGGTCGAATACCGATTACTAAGTAATACAGGTAACATTCGCAAAACACGGTACTTCTATAACACGGATTAGTTCTAACACGGTTTAAGAATTGATACCATCCCCCTTATAACACGATCATTTTGAAGCACGGGTTCGCTCTAACACGGTTTGAGACTTAAGCAAAACGCTAATAACATAAAAAATATAGTAAAATCTAGAAAATCAAACTTTATTTAATCTAAAATTAGTAAAATCGCAGTATAATAGCTCAACAAATGTGGAGAACTAATGCAAAAGATAACTAATTTGATCATTCGAGCGCGTACGTACTATAGAAAAAAAATCCTAGGATTATCCGAACATTTGATCAATTAGTCTTAAACAAAGATCCTCTGTAAAAAATGGGTACAAAATTTTAATAAAGATAACGTTGCTTATAGTAAATATAAAAATATCTTTTCGCTAAAAGCAAGTAATCGCAAATACAATTGTTTTTGAAAAAATAATGCACGGAAGTGGAGGTAGTATAGAAAGGTGCTCATATGATCATAATATCTCGCAAAAAAAGATCGTGTTGGATAGCACTAATCATTTAATTGTGGCAAAAAAAATCATATACTTGATGTAATGTATATTACTTCCTAAAAAAATAATAAATATAACAATATTTATTATAAAATCATGATATGTAGCATGTTTTTTTGAATTCTTGGAACGTAACCCATCTTTTTGTACTGGTTCTTTATCCCGTATAAGACGGATTCGCATAACGCTAGTTTTTTGGAACGTAACTTCCGTGTTATGCGAGGGTGGCCTGTATATTGCAGAAGTGTTACAGCAAGATAATTGATAAAATCTTGTGGTTTTTCTTACAGTCATTTAAGTTTTGAAAGAGTTTCAATTATTTTTACATTTAGAATTTAGAAACAGAAGATTATAGTGAAAAAAGATTTGTTTATTCTGTCTACCAACCTATCCACCTATTTATTCTCTACCGGTCCATTCTACGTACTCACATGTTTATCTGCCTACTTTTCCACCTTTTTACATGTCTACCAGTCTGCTCGCTACCAACAGCTTACCTGTATATCAGTTATTGGTCAATGGGTCCACCAGTCTTTCTGTCTACTTCTTTTCTACGCTTTCACCTGATTATCTGTTTACGTAAAAGGTACCTTTCCAATTGTTTAGCTGCCTAACTGTCTACATGTCTGCAAATTTTGGCCCGTAACTCCGAAATATCTTTTGGACTCTTGGCTAGACCTGTCTTTACGAAAAACTAATCAGCGCGTCTCTTCATTAATGGGATTCGAATGTTTTTTGAATAATTCAAATCGTTTGATAGGTGCTTCTAAAACATCGCCGAAAAAATGTATCTATACATACACCCACACACACACAAACACACACGTATATCTATTTTTTTAAGGTATAAAATGTTTGAACGTAAGAAACCTTTGAAACGTAAAGATATGCAATTTTTTTTTGTTTGTTATTGCTAGTAATCGCTAGTTAGTAGATACTAGTTATAGCTATAACGACCTTAGAAACAGGTAGTTATTGATAACACTAAATATAACATAAAATTCTGTAATAGAAGGTACATCATATATTATATCTGTAATATTATATCATATATTTATTATATCTTTTATAAATACATTTAATAAATAAGCCATATGTGTAACGTCTACTAAAATACAATAAATGTTTTTTACAATATTCAGCTTTGGTATAAGCAAATTTCTCCTCATTTGTACGTTAAAATAATTTCAAATAATTTTTTTCAATCGTCAATAAAATCTTTCAATTTTATATAAAGGCAACAGTTGAATATCATTCCAAATACGGGCAAAGCGCACATTCCCAGGCCTACTGCTCCTAAAAGCCAAAGTTGATGCTCCAATCTATCAGTCATACTGTGTATACAACCCTGAAAGAAGAAATTATATGAATTATATAAATACTAATAATGAAGCAAAAAAATAAAAATACAGAAGTCAGGGGCGTAGCGTGCATTGGCGGGGCCTCGTATCAAATTTTTTTGGGGGCCCCCTAAAGCAGGGCAGAATTTCCTCAATTTTTTTTATAAATATTCACTTATCATCAACATTCATCTATCTCTTTTCCAAAACAAACCTTACAAACGATTCAAATTCAATCTACACATTTATTAAATCATTTACAGCTTATGTTGGCTATAGTTTTTGATAAAGTTTCTGCTTCTATGAACAATAATGATCTGACTGCTGTTCCTGTATCATAGAAGGATTTAACTTCCCGAAAGAAATGTTTATATTTTTGCCAGAAAATGTTTGTTTACAACGATAGGCTGAGCCGATTCCTCGAAATTAGGTAAAAAGTGCTAAAAATTATTTTCGCCCTCGTTTCAAAATCAAGAACTGTTTGAAATATATCCCCCGGACCTCTTTTTTTTTTAAAAAAAGCATAAAAATTTGGAATAAATCTAAATTCTTGTTTTGCTAAATGACTCTAGTTGTAATAGAGCCTGACATTAGTCAGCATCAGGTTTTTAAGTGAGATCATTTGCTGTCCAACAAACATTCATAAATGCTCACTCTATGACCAAATTCATTGTACCTTGCTAAAAGTAGTTGTCAAAAAATGGTACAAAGAAGGGTTAATAAAACTGCAAGATCTTTTTCCTCAAAATATAAATCATAAATCACTTTTTACAAAAGTGTTTTAGATTTTTCTCATAAAAGCAATACTGAAGTGACTTTGCCTTGATATGATTTAAGATACTGATTTATCAAACATTACTGAATACTAATTCATGTTACTTAAAAAAATCATTCATTTCTTCAACTATATTCTAGCATGATATTCATCGCACAAAAATATATGCAACCAATAAAAAGAGCGTTTGGAAGATTATATAATGAAAGTAAGCAATATCTTATAGGCATATCAATTAGTTTAATTTGATTTAGTAACAGCACTTGCAACGGTAAGTACTGTAAACTAGTTGTGAGTGGTATTTTGCCCTAAGGCAAGTTACATTTTCGATATGTGTATCGACTTAATCAATAATAAATTAATTAATTTATGAGTGATTTATAGGTATTCCAAGTAGATTTGTTACACATTATTGAATATTGAACACGTGTCTAATACAACTCAGAGTATTTTCTAAAAGCAAATTTTCAAAATTCAATCATTTTCTATAATTGAACCAGTTTTCGCAGGACTATAATGGTTTAGTAAGTTTATTAAGACCAGGTACTCTATCATCATATCAAGTAAAACGTCTAATTTTAATAAACGTCGAAAAAGCTACTAACCTTTTGAAACTTTGATGAATTTTTAAAATGAAACGACTTGTCGTAGGGTTGTAATATATTAGTATCATCTATAAGACGAAACTAATCAGCACAATTTTAAACCAGAATCTTTCGAACGGTTTTTGAATTTTAAAATCGATTTAGAAGCGTGGGCTAAAACGTGGTCGAAAAGTTTTACACTTTTTTGCTGATTTCAAACCTATGGCTCGATCAATCGTTGCGCAAAACTAATAACCACTAGTCCTCATCGAGATACATGGAATGACTTTTAAATTTTTGAAATCGGTTCAGCCGCTTTTGAGAAAACGTCTACAAAAGTTAAAAAATCGGCACACATACACACACATACATTTTCCAAATTTGGTCTCATTTGATTCAGAATGGCTTGAAACGTCGAGAAAACATAAAATTAGCAAATCGGATTTTTTGACGAAAACAACTTCGGGAATTTAAAAATGATTTGTCTGCGTTTATTTGATGTTTAAACCAAATAAGGCAGCATAAATTAATAATGTTCATATTTATCTTGCATGACACAAATCTTCCATGCGTAGTTAAATATAACTTATAATTATTAATTAAAATTAGTAAAACAAGCCTATGTAAATGATTACCGTATAAGGAATATTGCTGGGATGGTCACTTTTCCCACACATTGGTATTTCTGTTTTACAACATGAATCTGGTACAAGTCGCTTCTCTAATGGCGTATGCATCAACCATGCACTTCTTCTCCAATCTTCGAAACTATTAGCTCCACAGCATTTCAACTAAAGATTAGATTACAAGAGAAACTTCATTTATAATAAAAACAATAAAAGTGAAAATTGAGGGAACTTATTGTCTATTAACCCTTTACGTTTCGGAATAAAGGCTAATTTTTTCCTGATCTATAATTTATATTTCAATGTGTTTATTGCAAATATCAAGATTATATTCTAATTTTTTAGTCAAAATGAATACATACTATAGACTAACAGCATGAATATAAATTCATTAATTGGTAATTTTGGCAATAAATTACTGTTTATTGTACTTAAATATTCGCTAGGGAAACAAAACAAAAAAATCCATAGGTCTGTAGAGTAAAATATTAGACTTGATAATTCTTAATTTTATAAATTAATATAAATTTTCCTTTGAGATATTTAGATTATAAATACCACTTTACATAAGACTCTATATATCACTCAAGCACTTTGAGAATAATTTTAATATTCCGAGTCAGTCAGAAAGTCAAGCTCGTTGATTAAGCTTATGTTTCTCGGTATAACCCAATAAATATATTAGAGCAAAAGAGTGTAATAATTTAATTATTGAATCTAAAAATTATTTTATTAGGTGCGCAATTAAGTTCTCGCTGTTTTTCGATAAAAATGTCTCTTTATTATAAAAAACTCTCAAATCTGATTCATACAAAGTATTGCTCATATCTAAACACATCTTTTGCCCATCTTTCTAGCAGAGCTCGAATAACCTTGGCATCAGAAGTGTTCGTCTTTTGAGGCTATCCACGAATCAAGTCATTTTCTGACGTTTTCATATGAGTTGAACTGCTGATCAGCCAGGCCATGTGCCATCGAACGGAACAAGTAAATATTGGACAGTGTAATATCTGGAGAATATAGCGGGTGGGGTAGGATTTTTCATTTGAGCGTTTCCAATAAGTTTTAATAGGCTTGGAAACGTGAGGCCCAGCGTTGTCATGCAGTAAAATCACTCTGCTCGTATTGTGGCCGTTTTTCGTGCAGTGCTCGTCTAAATTGCATCAATTAAGTTCGATACAGTTCTCCAGTGATGGTTTCGCTCGGTTTCAACAGCTCATAATAAATATCACCGACCTGGTCCCACTATATGCTGAGCATAACCTTTGCAGTGAATATTCGGCCGAACCGAGATTTTTTCCTCTTTGGATTGCTGTAATGTATTTATTTTTATCACCTGTCACGATGCGATGAAGAAACACTTCTTTTCTCGCCGCTAGAGCAATTGTTCACAGACGAAAAAACGACGCTCGACGTCTCTTGGCTTCAACTCACAGGGAACCCAAGAATCTTGCTTC